ATATATATATATATATATATATATATATATATATATATATATATATATATATATATATATATATATATATATATATATATAACAGTGGGTCAAATCTCATACTTTGATTGAATTGCGGTTTGCAGTCTAACGATTACAATTTTACTATGTTGTTGACATTTTACTAAGGATATTACAACAAGCTTGTTTCCTTTGGGAGAGACCAACCCGTCTTTTTCAAACCTTTTCCAGACATATTGAGTGATCTTGTCACCATTTAAAAGTGGTTCTCTTTCTCTTACCAATTTATTAAATGAGATAAAGCTAGTTTAATGTTTTTAAAATTTTGATATAAGATCATTTGAGAATCTTAGATTTAAAGCTCATAGATGATAGATGCAACATATTTTATTCAATAATATGTTATCATCTTTAGGGGTCGTTTGGTTTGAATACTGCTTATGCCGGGATAAGTTATGCTGGGATTAGTTATCCTGATATTATTTTTTATCCATTGTTTGTTATGTTGTATTAAAATGACAATTGCATAATTTCTAAGAAGAAGGTATAAGTTATCCCGGCACTAATTACCCCCCCTCCCTCCCCCTCTACAAGGTATAAGTTATTCCAGTACTAATTTTAATCCCTGGATAACATATACCAGGTTTGCTAACCAAACAAAGTATTAAGGTGGTATTAATTTTTTATACCAGCACTATACTTTCTTATACCTCATACCAAACGACCCTTAGTTTCCCTTTTTTTTTCTCCTTTCTCGTTTCAATGTATAAATAAAACAATCAAGAAACGAACAATATAATTTGGTTTGATTGAGGTTGCTTCCCAACTGTTATTACTTCATCAAGATGTTACTATTATAATGAACTTGTTTTTTATTTTTATTTTTATTTTTTATGTGCATTCAATTAATGCCTATGATGTGTAGAAGTGTTAATGTATTTGTTCAAAATTATATCTGTCTAGGAGGCATTTGAGATGTTGGATGCATGCTTGGGCCTAAATACCCGGATTTGTTACATCGGAAAAGGGTTAGATGTGTCCCTATACTCAGAAATTAGTTATAAGTATCCCTCGTTATACTATCTTTCACTATCTACCCGTGTCGTTACTCATTTTAATATTTTTGCCCTCACATCTAACAGATCATTTTTGGTGGACATGTGGCACGATCTTAAATATCCGAATCATTTTTCCTCTAGTGTCCGAAACCACCAGATCCATACCCGAAACCCACAGTGAATTCTTCATACATGAAAATCACTTTGGTACACTGAAATCTTGATCTGATGCAAACGAAAACATGGGTCTGCTTCTAATTTCTTTGTGGAAGTTGAATTACAAACAGTAGGCACTTGTATACAACTTACAATCCTTCTCCTCTTGTAATAATTAAGAACCACATATCAAGAAAAGTATAGTGGTACTGCAACGAAACTATTAACAACACAATCAAAGCATCCACCCCCAACAACGAGCTTCCTTTCGACCTCCGCCTCCCATGGTGACCCTCCGTAAAACTTTTTTCAGTAGCCTCCATCACTTCTTCACATGAAACAAACCATTGAATATAAGAAAACTGAAAATTACAACTAGAAATAATAGTACAGTTGCAGCAATTTTCAGACTTATGCAAAGTTCCTGAAGATGAACAATTGATGCATTTTCATCTCACAAATGTCAACCAAATCTAGTCAAAGTTGTCCCAAATAACCTCTTAATCTGGTTAAATCCCATGACCTTCAAGGTTCAACAATGGGTTTTTTTTTTTTTTTTTGTCAACCAAGTTCTCAGATTTTTAGCAATTAGATTCATCTTCTTCAATCAAAATTTCAGCAGTGTACTAACAATTGAAGCTTGATAAACAATACTAATTAAAACAGAAGCACCAACTCGAGCAAACATCAACGAAATTAAGGTACCCGATTCGTCTTTTTTCAACTTCAAATTTCAAACCCACTTCTAAAGTTCAAAGGTTGTTCTTCAAGAACCATATGTTAAAGAATTTTCTGATTATCTGTTTTGATTCCAGCATCCTCAGATCGGCTGAACCAAATTCCTGCATATAAACGTAGGAGAAGCCATATGTATGGGTTAAAATCATTCGGATTTTTTGGGGGTCGGTTTGGATATCGGGTCGTGGCTGAACGGGCAGGATAAAATGGTAGATGGTTTGGGTATTTAAGATCGTGCCACGTGTCCACCAAAAAGGATCCGTCAGATGTGAGGGCAAAAATATTAAAATGAGTAACGACAAGGATAGATAGTGAAGGATAGTATAACGAAGGATACTTGTAACTAATTTTTGATAATACAGGGACACATTTGGCCCTTTTCCGTTGTTACATTCCCCCTGTGATACTCGGGCGGAGTGCGGCAATAGCCACTTTTAAGCCCGCATTTTAAAATATATCCATAATTTATAATGTATTTAATGATTAACCGATTCACCCAAACTTCGGGACTAAGTATCCTGGATTTGAAAATTCATGACTTAGCGTCCTGAATTTTTGAGCTGCTAATTTGAAATTCAGGACTAAGTGTCCTGAATTTCTGAACTACTAATTTAAAATTCAGGACATAAGATTCGAACTTTCGGTTATAATTTTCGAACTTTAGGACATGATGTCATGAAGTTTGAACTTTGAGGTTTAAACTTTAGGACGCTGTGTCCTAAAGTTTGAGCGTAACTGGCTAATCGTTAAATACGTTGTAAACTGTGAATATATTTTAAACAACATACTTAAAAGTGGCTATCTGGTATCATTTCTACGTGATATTCCAACCGCCCCAGAGTTAGTTGGATGGTGTGGCTGTTTAAAACATGGCTATAAGTTTTGCCTTAAGGCTGTTTGCTGGCTCGCTATGGGGATCAAAACGGACTGTGGGTGAGAAAACGGCATTAGTGGTCAAAATGAACTGGTGCTATGATCACAATCTCTATATTAAAAGGTAGAATTGGGATTCGCCCTAGGGCGGAGCACTCGTAAAACGTCCTTGGGCGTATATGTGAGGCTTAGTTCCGTGAAACTTATGCCTCGGTCATTGGGGGCGTACGCCCCGGACATGCCCATCGCCCAGCGTACTGGGCTCGCCTAATAGAAATTTATGCAATTGTATGTAACTAACTTGTAAAGTAAAAATTGCATGGGGCGCCCTATTTGGTCGCCCCCATTTAACCTATACCCATTTTTAAAAAAAGTTTTAACTTGTACCCACTTTTTAAACAACTCCCCCTTTCTTCTACTCCTTCTCCTCCTTCGTTTTCTTAAGATATTTTCAGTACGATAATACAGGTTAGCATCTGGTCTTCATTCGGATTTGGGACAGCTAAACTTAAGTCCCAGTAAATTGATTACGACTTATCAATAACAATGAATCAACTAACATAAGTTGCATGATTTTTTTTATTTTTTTTCGCATTTTTGATGTAATCTTTTTTTTTTTTTGAATCAAATGAATTGATCTGTGGGGTTAAAGTAATAGTTTCACTTTATGTCACTTAAATTTTATGATTATTTGATTTACTTCCACTAAAGGCACCTTTTTCTAATGTAATTAATGATCTGCTCCATAAAAACGTTCAGAAAGAAGAAAAAAACGAAGATCCAATATAGTGATTGTATGGGTCAAAAAACTATATAAACTTTTTAAAAAACTTCAACTTATATAGTGCTGAAGTTTTTACAAATGAACTAAATAACTTCAACATCTTCTGCTGAAGTTTTTGAAAAAGCTTATCCAGGACAAAAAAACTTCAGCTTATTTAGGCCTCATTTGTTTTTTTAAGATTAAGACGTCTGAATCTGAATACACATCTGAATATCAAGATGTGTATTAAGATTAAGACATCTGAATCTGAATACACATCTGAATATATTAAGATGTGTATTAAGATCAAAATAGAAATAATTAAGACAGTTTGATTTTTAACATCTGAATGTATAAAATTTATCTTTATTTGAAAATTAATAAACATAAAATTCAAATGAAATACTAACTAATCTAATATTCTATCAATGAAATATATAATTTTTTAAAATATGATAGTTGTTGGTGGTGATAGCTAATGAGTGAATATCGACTAGAGACGGTGATTGGTGGTAGTTTTGGTTGATGATAGTGGTTCATGCTAGTAGCTAGTGGTGATTGGTAGTAATGACGATTATGATTGAGGATGGTAGCGGTGGGTGGTGATAGCGGGTGGTGGTAATAGTTTTGACTGAGGAAGGTGGTGGGTGGGTGATGGTAGGTTATAAGATGGGCAGTACCGGCTGTGGTTGTTAATGGTGATACGGTGGTCAGTTGTGGTAGTTGAGGTGGATGAGTATTGATTGTGGGTGAGAATGATGGTGGTCGGAGTGGTGGGGATATTGGGTGGTGATGGTTGATAATGGTGGCGGCTATGATTGAGGATGATGGTGGCATGGGTGGTGGTGGTGGTGGTTGAGTATGGTGGTGGTGGTGACATGATGGTAGTTGATAATGGTAGGCGGTGGCGGCAGTTAATAATGAATATGTGATAGCATCTTAATGAAATTAAGTCTCTGTTATAGATCTTAATCATACAGACCTATTCAGACCCATTAAGTGGTTGTGAAGTAAAAAAAAAAACAAACACACTTGATGATTAATATCTGATAATTAAGATTCAGACTTTAAAAATAAACGCACTTAATATCTGAGATCTGAATGATTAAGATTCAGACCTCCATTAAGGGCAAACAAATGAGGCCTTAGTACTGAAATTTTTACAAATGAACTAAATAACTTCAACATCTTTTGCTGAAGTTTTTGAAAAAGCTTATCCAGAACAAAAAAACTTCAGCGTATTTAGTGCTGAAGTTTTTACAAATGAACTAAATAACTTCAGCATCTTCTGCTAAATTTTTTGAAAAAGCTTATCCGGGACAAAAAAACTTCAGCTTATTTAGTGCTGAAGTTTTTACAAATGAACTAATAACTTCAGCATCTTCTGCTGAAGTTTTTGAAAAAGCTTATCCAGGACAAAAAAACTTCAGCTTATCTAGTGCTGAAGTTTTTACAAATGAACTAAATAACTTCAGCATCTTCTGCTGAAGTTTTTGAAAAGACTTATCCAGGACAAAAAAACTTCAGCGTATTTAGTGATGAAGTTTTTACAAATGAACTAAATAACTTCAGCATCACAAAACTCAGCTACTAGAATGCTTAAGTTCAGCAATTACAAATAAAAACTTCAGCAAATAGAGAACAAAACTTCAGCACTAGAATGCTTAAGTTCAGCAATTACAAACAAAAACTTCAGCATTTGGTTCAGTAATTTTTGCTACTTCAGGCCCGTCTACTAGAATGCTGAAGTTTTGCGTGATTGCCTTTGCTACTTCAGCCCCGTATGCTGAAGTTACGCGAAAAAGTGGGCACGCTTGCAATTTTTTTTTGTAAAGCGGGCACAAATTAAAACGTGACCCAAAAAAGCGGGTATAGATGCAACCCCCCCTCCCCCTTGTAAATCCTCAAATTTTCTTAATAAATCATTGACTATTCAAAATTACTTTTTTTCTAATTATAAATCATTAAGTTGAGAGTATTTTATGTCATAATTAAAATAAAAATTATTGCATGTTATCCACTAAGACTGCTATGATAGTTAATTTTAAATAAATCTTTCATTTAAAAAGTATTTATTTATTAACTCTTGTTATGTCTTTACTATATAATAGTCATAATCTTTTTTATGATTGTTTTTCTAAATATTATTTTTTTCACGTTTACGAGATACAATACTTATTAATTTAATAGCTCAGTATTAGCTAGTAACTATTTAAAAATAATTAGTTATTATGGTATTGTATGGTGAATCATGTGTCACTTTATTAACTTGTTGAAACTTACAAATGAATGATGCTTGAGAATCATATTTAAATTGTGAATTATGTATTTATATAAATTCTCTTTCAAATAGAAAGCATATTAAATTAAAGGAGTATTTTAAAAAAATATCAAATTATAATACCTTTCAAGATTCATTACTCCTTAAGAGATACATATACGATTTCGTATCGAATACATTACTTTTGATGTTTGAGTTGTAATGACGTTGCAGCTAATTTGGAAATTATGATATATGTCATACTTTTAGTATTATTCGTAGTTGAATTATAATTTATAAATATTTTAAATAGATTATTTGTTATATTTTTGTGATTTCAATGTAATTTTTATAAATTTTTTATACTATCTTAAAATTCTTGAAATTAGTAAAATTTAAAGATCCCTGGGATTTACGTCCCATGCTCAAGGCTTACGCCTCGCCTCGTCAGAAGTAAAATGCTTCGCCTCACGCCCCCGCCTTTTAAATCATTGATCACAATTGTGGAGCCACGATCACAAACTCAGTTATTTTTGCATGGTAACAGAGGAAGTTGCGATCACAACACACGACTCACGATCGCAGCAAGGCAAGGTCTGGGAGGTAGTAAGCCCAAGCTCAAAAAACACGATCCTGAGCCCGGTTGCTGCAATCGTCACTCTATGAGCTGGCTCCATTTTTTTTACACCTAATATGCTATATATAATATATTTTTTAAAAAAAAAAGTTATATGAAGTGAAAAAATTTGATTTCTTTATTTAACAAATATAGAGACGAAGGATTTGCAACTGCTTTGATTTCTACCAAGGAAATTGCATTTGAAATTAATATCGAACCCGAATTTCATAAGAAACGTATAATATATAGGAAGAAATAATTTGAGGAGAATGTTAAGAGCCCGTTTGGCTTAGCTGATTTAGAGTAGCTGATAAGCATTAGGTGCTGAAAAGTACTTTTAAGTGTTGAAACTGATTTAAAAAATAAGCAGTTACGTGTTTGGATAAAAGTGCTGAAATTAATAATAAGCAGCTGAAGAACTAGGTATACGAAGAGTTTTGTTTTAAAAAGAAGTATTTTAGGGATAGAATAGTAAATATTTTGGTCAAACCTAAAGTGCTTATAAGCTGAAATTTGATAAGTTGGGGCAGACCAACTTATGACTTTTGGCTTATATTTGGCTTATAAGCACTTAACTTATAAGCACTTTTAATTTTACCAAACGCGTAGATAAGCCAAAAAATGCTTATAAGCCAGTTTGACCAGCTTATAAGCTTAGCCAAACACCCTCTAATAGTGAAATGTCA